GGGGGGGGGGGGGTGATTTCAAGGACCTACGGGCCCTAAAAAATTAGGAACATGATTGAATTGGCTTGGGCTGGGGGCCCAGAATGATAAGCTTTCATGGGGCCTAAAATCTCTAGCAACACCCCTGTCCCCCCCCCCCCTTATAAGGGTTCTTAGAAGGCCCCTAATTTTCTGTTTGGAGTGCACATTTATACACTGACTAAATGGCACATTTCAATGACCAGAATTATCACTGTACACGTCAGACTCTGAAGTGACCGTGACATTTCCCCGTAGGGGTCATGTGACGCAGGACGCTCCCATTCCCGGCTCCCCCCTCTACACCATCAAGGCCTTCATCCCGGCCATCGACTCCTTTGGCTTCGAGACGGACCTGCGCACCCACACCCAGGGCCAGGCCTTCGCCCTCTCCGTCTTCCACCACTGGCAGGTAGGGCCTGTTGCCATGGTGATCCCCACCCCTTATACATTACCGTATTACATGTAATAGTTCATTGATAGATAAATCGACCTGCAAGCAGCATGTGATAAATGTCCCTGGAGATAATTATGCTTGACAGACTGAAGTGTGTGTGTGTGTGTGTGTGTGTGTGTGTGGCATAAATGGAAAATGACAGATTCCAGATCCACATTCTGTTGTAATTCTTAAATATAAGGGTAGCGTTGAATATTTGCCTGATACTGGTGTTGGAAGGATTGCTCAGACAGATCTAAAAATTTGACTAAAATAATTGGTAAGGCTGGAGTTATTGTTGATTATTCATATTAGTGTTCTACAGCGTGGTCACAGTGTCTTTTTATGTGATCATGGCGGCCCTTAGTGGAATTTGAGGACATGTTAAGAGGCGTGACATTTGCAAAATAGACATAATAAATGTCCCCCTAGGGGTCTGAGCTCGACGCAGCCTTGCTGGACTCTGCGAAACTGCTCATTGGCTGATCTCTGATTTCCCTCTCATCCAATCACCTGTTCGCATGCCCTTTTCCACTGAGAAACGCAAACTCTGGCACATTCCCTTAATCATGTGAGTTTCATAAAAGCAGACATTGTGAGGTGATTTGATAGCATTCTGACTCCTGTATTTATTTGTATCTAGAGAGGTGATCTTGGTAAGCCTTAAAATGCTTCAGTTCTGAAGTCTGTACCCTTGCGCCTTGCTGGGAATTTGGATTCCCCCCCCCCCGCGTCTTAGCTCTCCAGTTTTAAGTGGCCTCAGTAATGAGATGAGAATACTTTCAGTGTCAAGCGCCTATCAGACGTAACAAACTGTCATTGTTTCTTCTAGACCTGGATCTGAGTAGCCCTATCTACTGAAGTGCTGAATTCAGGCTTCTCTCATATTGATACAGTTGGATTGTCGAAGGACTTGCCAATTAAATGACTGGGCCATAGAGTTACCCCCCCCCCCCAATATTAATTACTTAAACCCCCTCCCCCTGCACATACCCATTCCTCCCCACGTATTGACGTTCTGTCCAGTTGCTTAATTGAGGGATTCGTCATCTCCCTTCACAATTAGTTTCAAGCTGCACAAGACAAGTAGGAAACGGCTGAGGATGCAGGTCGAATGCTCAGCCACTGGGCTGGATCCCCCCCCAGAGCAGAACCCGAGTTTCTCATGAGAACTTTTCCTGTGCCTGAAAAGGGCACTCGTGTGTGTGTGTGTGTGTGTGTCTGTCTGTCTGTCTGTGTCTGTGTGTCATCCTTCACCCATCCTCCCTCATTCTCTCTCTGTCTTCACACCCGTTTTCCATCTGACAAGATTGTCCCCGGAGATCCGCTGGACAAGAGCATCGTGATCCGACCCCTGGAGCCGCAGCCGGCGCCTCACCTGGCCAGGGAGTTCATGATCAAGACGCGGCGGCGGAAGGTGAGTGGGGCGGGGCCTCTCCACACGCCCCGGTCTCCGTGGAGACGCTCCGTATCCGGTGGCCTTCATCTGGCCGCGTACCCTGACTAGACTCGTCCTCTTCCTCAGGGTCTGAGCGAGGATGTCAGCATCAGCAAGTTCTTCGACGACCCCATGTTGCTGGAGCTGGCCAAACAGGACGTGTTGCTCAACTACCCCATGTGAACATGGGGGGGGGGCCGGGCTGTTTTTGGCTCGTGGCTGCCATCCCCCACCCCCCACACCCCCAAGTTCCTCTGCTTTTGATTTAAGAATAATTAAGTTTAGGACGGTATTTGGATAGCTCTCTACAAAGGGCCATGAGAACCTTCTCTGATCCACATTCTTCTGAATTCTGTATCGCAGGACTAATTGCATATGTTGTTGGTTTCGTTTTTTTTTTTTTTTCTACATGTGGAAACTTGATTTGTAGAAAATATTGGGCAGCAGGCTTGATTTTTTTTTTAACAAGTAATTTCAATGTAATTCCTCTGATCCTGTACATGTTTAAATAAAAACCATGCCTGTTCCACCCCGGTTGGATTGCTCTACATTTTCTTCCCTCGTTTTTCTGACTTTTGAGGCAAGCTGGAGACGACCAGGCCTGGATACTTAAGCTGATTCGCTTTCGTGGCGCTCTGTGGGGAAATCCAGCCCAAATTGGATTGCATTTAATGCTGATTGCTGTTGCCATTTATAATTGTAATGGTGTCATCCCATCAAAGTAAGAAGTAATTTATGCTTTACCAGTTGTGCGGGTGATGCCTGGCTGATGATTGGTTTCTTACAATTAGATGAGCAGTACAGAAATTATTCATGGGAAATTCAGAAACTGCTTGGCAGACAAGTTATGCATTTGCCTGATTGACGTTTATTTGTCTTATTTTCCATGTCCGCCCCCCCCCCCCCCCATCCCTAAATCTTTCACCACTCTGCTGCTCTCCTTCACTAACTGTGCACCATGTCAGCGGTTGACAGGGCTGATATTTCAATTTGTGATAGTGAACACCTGTATATTACCTTTTTAATCTGGTAATATTTATTTACTGATGATGTCCTGGAGCAGTTGGACGTTGGCTTCTCTAAATGACGCTGATCCTTAGTTAATTGTACGGTAATATATGGGCCCCTGTGTTCTTAGATCAATACTAATATTAAACTGCAGTCCACTGGATTGACTTTACGTAAAGCCCTCAGGACACTTGGTTGCATCTGTTAAATAGTGTCAGGCTTTTATCCAATGTGAATTTTACACTTGGAGACGGCTGGGTAATTTACTGGAGTACTCTGCGTTAGGTTCATGCTGGAAAAAATTCCCCTTGTCAAACCTAACCTGCCATCTTGAAATAAAACAATATTTATATGGACTGAGAATGAACACAAATCCCATAGATCTGCAGCTTAGTGGCTGGCCAGGAAACAATGAATTTGGAATTGACAATTAATTTATAAAATCATCAGTTTGAATTTTTAAATATATTCTTGCTATTATTCTGATTATTTTTATACATGTACTGGAAAACGATCTAAAATGAACGAACCGGCTTCCAATGGCGTACAAAGCACCAGGTCTTTGTGATTCACATCGTCTCCCCTGACCTTCAATTTTCGAAGAATAATAGGGTCTGACTGCGCAAATTACGCTGATTCGGCACTTTCTTTGTTAATAAGTCGTGTGAATTCCTTTTGTACTTTTTTTTACAGTGTGTCAGATTTATAGACGTCGAAAGAAAAATATTGCTAAAAATATTTCTAGGCTTGCTTGTTTTCACTGCAAATTCCACAAACACAGCGGCTCTAAGCTAATTTTTCCCTTGCTTTTAGAAATAGGCTGTGTATGTACAGCTCTGATTGTAAAAGCACAAACCCCTCTCGCAAGGCATCCTGTCAGCGGGCTGAGTTCATTAACTCCTGCTGGATGTGGACAATGCTGAAATTAAGCATTTGGGATTGATGGATGGATGGATGTGACCGGGCTGGACCGTCTTTTCTCGCCTTTCTTCCCGCTGACATTAATCCCCTCAGCCGGTTACCGTACCGTCGAGCCGGGAATCGCACTTTAAAATAGCGTCTCTCTTCGGTGCACAACACGTGTGTTTCCGAGACACTGACTGATCCCTTTAAGGGGGGGAACTCAACAAAATCGGAGCAGCGACGAATAAACACGAACGAGGATTGAGCAACTTTAGCCGATTTTCCCACTCCGTCTTCTGGCATGGAGGAGTTTGCAAAGACGCACAGCAGAGACTCACGATGAGTATCCGAAGCGAGGGATCTGTCCGATCATGCCGCAATACGACCGAGCTGTGTAACAAATGGATAGATGCAAACAAAAGGGGTGAACTGGCTCCTGAAGAAGAGAAACCCCGCGTCGGATTTTTTCTTAGGAGTCCTGGACAAGAAGCCGAAAACCAGTCACGACTGTCAGCTGGGTGTTAGTTTAATGGTAACGGACGCTGAATATTATAGTATATTATTTGATTTTTATTATCATCATTATTATTTACAGACGCCGGGGTCCGAGTCCGCGGAGTTTTCATGGCGTTAACCCCGGACTCGCTCGCTTCTGCAGCTGCGGTCCTGCCTCGCCGTTTTCATACACATCCGAAGTGAATCCGAAATGGACAACTTCGGGGCGCAGGAGAGGCGGCGGCCGAGCCATTAAAGCCCGGAGACCTCGGCGAAAAGTACTGCGCGGGCTCGCCGACGGTAACGCTGCCTTTCCATCATCTTTTCATCCGCATGTGTTTGCTACCAAACATGCAATCTTCTTAAAAAGTCCTGGGTGGACATCTTGAGGCTATAGCGACTATAGACAGACAACGTAACGTCTTATATAGTTTGATACATTGCGTTTGACACTCGTGTCCGATGCAGAGTTTTTATAAGGCAAACCGAAACTCTCCCCTGCTTGTCTGTATAATGAGAAATACTGTTTATAAATATATATATAAATATATATATTTTCAAAGGTAAATGTGCTTCGGATCCTTTTCTGGCTGCGTGTTATAGTAGCGTTCAGGAAACGCTGAACTGCAATGGCAAGTTTAGTTTTAGTGACGGTGACCTCTCACATAACGCGGTTCCAGATTCAGAATAAAGACAGTTGTACACGAACCCATTTATACTTGGGTGGCGGCCACTTGCACAGCTTGACTTAATGTGCTTCACGGTTATTATGGGTATTAATTCGTCAGGGTGATTCAGTTTACTGCTCATCCGCAATAAACATGAGCGTACAGGTTTTAACGTGGTTATTTGTTGGGACCGTAACTCCAAATGACCACTTTCCCCGATTTTTATCGGATGCGGCTGTTTTTAATAACCGTAGTTCCCTTCCACGGTGTAAAATCTGTGATTGATATACAGTATAAAATCCATACACTCTTCATGTTATTACGGGCGATAAGGTATTAGGCTTTTTTTTTTTTTTTTTTTTTTTAAAGATAACTAGCAGTATTATTTGTTTAAAATGTGATTTTATATGCATGTGAATATCATAGTGTACATTTGTACAAAATGTTGCATGCTGGTATGCATGTTAATATAAATAGTGTTTACGCATGGCGATTAAAAACGTTTAATTCCTCCAACCGTGTGTATTGCATTGTGGCATAGGATACAATTTTCTCAGTGTACAAACAGTGTAGTATGTAGAGCTGGTACCGTTATTGTAAGGGGGCGAGGCTGTGCGGTTCCCCCGCCCTTGCCACAGCAGCCACCGCTGGACTTTGTCAGAAAGTCTCTTTGTCTGCCTATCTGGCTGTGGGGTGTGTGTGTGTGTGTGTGTGTGTGTGTATATGTATGGGGGGGAGGTGATTGTAAATTGTGGCATTAACTGCTTGCGCCAATTGCTAGATAGCGCCGCAAAATATTGAAAGGCTGTCTCACGGTAACGATGGCGAACAAAAACCTTAACATTCAGCTCTTTTTCTTAGATGGTTGTTCATAAGGTTTTATACACGTTACATTAACCCCTCTTTCTCACGCGCCGATTTCTCTTTTTAATACCAGCTGCTAATCATCGCCGTATCAATAGCGATTAGGGGGCGAAACATTAAGACAGTAAATCACAGTGCGGATCTGTTACAGTGAGATTTGACAGTGAAATGAAACACAGGCTCAGCGTAATAAATATCTCTTCACCGCAGGTGTGAGAGACTTAGCTGGAACAAGGCATTAAGTCAATGATATTTTGCAGGAATTATTAACTTCGTCCCAGCAGAAAATGTAACGCAGTCTGCTTCTTGGTTCTGTAATGCACGCCCGTCCTCATTAGCACCGACGTACTGATGCCTGCGCTCTTCCCCCGTTGCTTTTCTCTTCTTTTTTTATCTCTTAGCGTTTTCATTTAAGCTTAATTAATCTTTGGTTAGCTGCGGGGATCCGGCTGTCAGGGCGCTCTTTCCAGTTTTGTTGTTGCTTTTCTTGGTGGCGATGCTCGCTCCCTCAAGACAGAAGAGGGGGTGGTGGTTCGGGTGCTGAGTGGGTGGGGGCGTTGGGATAGGGTGCTGGTGGGGGGTGGCACAATGAATTGGCCCTCGGCCTTGGCACTGAGAGTGATGAGGAGCGGATTTAGTGGGGCAACGGGCTGCAGACACTGTTAGATTTGAAAGTGCAAGGCTTTGACTGATTATTGATCTCCCCTCCTATAATGTTGACTGTGATTGGGGGTCTTCTAATCACCTGGCATGCCTGTCATCTTCTTAACCCATTACCCAGTTATAAATAGTGTAGACTGCATATTTTGCACAGATCTGACATTTGTAATAATTGATTTTTTTGTCATTGTTAGGTGTAAGAGAGTGTCTAACCGAAAAATGGTATTGTATCCTGAAGGTGTTCGTGTGTGTGTGTGAGAGAGAGAGAGAGAGAGATACAACGGAGAAGGAACTCTGACATTCAGTGGTGTTTTGTTAAGCATATGGGTCCAGTTTGGTGCTGTGTACTGGTCTAAATCTTGGAGTTGGGGCTGCGAATTGGGTGGAAACTACTGGACTGGCCGTCTGCTATGGTTTAGTTCAAAACGATGCTTTGCTGTAACCAGCCGTCTTGAATTAAGGCTGCATTTATAGCCTGCTGATGATGAGGGTCATTACGAGGTAGAAGCTGGGTGAAGGAGACATCTGCCGTCAATGGGGAGGTGGGGGTGTGTGTGTGTCAGGGGGGAAAGGGAGTGATGGAATTTAGGTCATGTAGTTACTGCGGGATGAATTATATCGTGTTTTGACCGCGTGTCCTTTCAGTGAGCCTGTGCACGTGTGTGTGTGTGTGTGTGTGTGTCTGTCTACATGCAGTCCCATTTAAAATGAACATAAGCTATAGCTGACGTTCAGCTGACCTCAGCGGTATAATGCATGAATTCCCCACACAATGTAAAAAGAAAAAAAACAGTCTGATCCAAATATATACCAGGACGCTGAGGTCAGGATTCCTTTTTTAGAAAAAAATCAGTAGCTTACAGTATTTTTTCCTCCCTGGTTTAGGAGAATCTGTCAGTCTGTGACTGTTAATTTCCATCACTCAGTATATGGAGTAAAACACCCACTTACCGCTCCCCTCACCAGTTAAAAATATATATATTTTTTTTTAATTCAGAATTTCTGATAGCCTTGTGGGGAATTATCCAGTCTCTCCAGGCAGCTAGCCTGGGCTGTCTCAGCCGTTGTGAAACCTGCTGAATTCCATTAATCTTTCTTCTCGGTCTGCACGCGAGAATGAGGTGTGGGCTTGGCTTGCGGCGTCTTTGTGAAGGGAAAATCCGCAGCGTGCGGCCGTACTGTGAGAGAGGACGCTGCTTTCATCAAGTCCCTAAAAGTGCCTGTTATTTCTCCCTTCCTGCTAGACGCTGTGAAAAAAGCCTAAAAGCCAAGACGTTGGGACAGAAGCCGGCCATTGTTGGTGGCGTTTGTTTCCTCGGTAGGAGTGGCTTGGCAATAGTTTGGATGCTTTTTTTTAGCAAATCGGGTTAGTTTCCCTGCTCAAAGGTGTCACACGGCAGGTTGAATCTCATTATTTCATCTCCATGGACCCTCATCTAGATCCCTCAACTCTGGTCAGAAGTGCCCTCCCATTTTTATTCAAACACACGAAGTACACTAGATACAGTGCAAGTTATCGTATGCTAAGCATCTCCTGTGACATCACAGACCACATGCCTGCAGACCACTGGTCAAACGGGTGTCCTTGTTTCCACAAGAGCTCCCAAAAGATCTCTGCTGTTGGCATTTCGGTAAACGGTGGCTCTGCATTCGGATTCTGGAATGTGTCGGAATGGTAGTGGAAAACCAGGCTTTCACGGCAGAATGGGATCCCTTTGTCATGGCTGGTGGTCATTACTTTGGCTTGAGGATTGGTCGCTGTCGTCTGGTCACGGAGGTATCGGTCAGAAGGCCTCGCGGTGGATCCTCTTAAGTACCGTTAGAGGGATGTGAGAGGTCATGAGGTCAAGGAGCACCAGCTAACAGGCAGAGAGGGCGGCCATTAGTGTGGGCACGGGAAAAGGGCAAGTGTTCCGGAATGTTCTGGAATCGAGGGAGAAGTCCTGTTTCTTCCAACGTAAATATCCGAAGTGATCCAATTAGGTTAAATTCAATAAGGTCGACAATGCCTCTTCCAAATGCTGGAAGGACATACTTGGGGGGGTGGGGGGGAGTCCTTCTCTGGTTCAGAAGATGCAGAAGGTACTGTACTGATTCTGGGGGGATAAAACAACAAGGAAAAAACACACAGCTCCTCTGGTGTGTTAATGTCCTTTCCACACACACCGAAGCTGGGGGAAACCAAAAGGGTATACGAGTTAAAGGGTATACGAGTTAAAGGGTATACGAGTTAAAGGCAACTGGTTTGTACACAACATCTTTTACATTTTTGTGCGTATTTTAGCTTGTTTTAGTGATGGCTTGTTTTTTAATATGGGGAACAGATCACTTTGGTTTGAGCCGTCATTCATGCTCATCTAAGGTCTCTTCTTCTCTAATACGCTACGAAAACTGTTCTGCAGAACTGAGCAATTCATCTGGCTTATTTAATTAGCAATTTTCACCGTGTTCCTCCTCTTTTTTTTTTTTTATCCCGTAACTGCAGATTTCAGGTGGGTGGGGCTCGAGCCTCATGTGCTGTCACCCCATGGCGGAACGTAAATATCGTTTATGTGGTGGAGGGGCGAGGCGGGGTTAAACGCGAGGAACGTGTGCTGTGGGAAATGGCTTTTCACGCTCGTTGAGCAGATTGAGCGGGGAAAAATTCCGTACCGCTGTTCAAGTCGGCACGGTTGTCTGGGAACAAATAGGAGGGGAATCGTGCAGCTCCGTGGATTTGTAGCCGTGATGCGTACGTTCTGCTTTGGACTATTGCGAAATCCCCCATAGCTTGTGTACATGGCAGAATCAAGAGGGGTTTAACGTTTCGTGATTCCGCTCAACTAGATCAGGTTGTTTACTTGTTGGAAGACATTGAGCTCATCTTAATCAAATCTAGAACATTCCTCTTTAATAGAATCACATACTGAGTAAACAGTTTCCCACAATGGCCCAGGCGTAGCCCCCATCAATGCCATGCTCACACGCTCTCTGAGGAGAATGTCACCGGAGGACGGACCCTTGGGGTCCCCTGTGGACATTTCAGTAGATCAGTGTTTTCCAACCCCGGTCATTTTTGCTCCTCCCCAGCTTCCATTCCGGAAAGAGGGATCAAAAACATGCACTGGA